TCTCTTCACTGGTTATGTCCAGTGCCCAGCACAATTCTTAGCACAGAGTAGATGCTAGATAAATATCTGTTCAATAACTATATTACTTCTTTATTTTAGAGAGATTTTTGTTATAGAGTGTGTGTGCTCACCAGAGGACAGAAAGAGAGAAATCACCACCAGGGGGATGGCCATGCTGCCCTCTCCTCCATTCTCCTCTTGGGATCTTGGGCACACACACACACAGTTTGAGTTTCAAGTCACTGGGTCTGGGACTTGAACCATGGTCAAATGTGGGAATCCAGTGACGTAACCATTATGCCATCTGCTGGTCCCTAACTATATTACTAAAACAAAAAATTAGGGTGCACATCAGTACATATGAGGGTACTTCACAAAGTTCATTGAAAAAAGTGAAATTAAAGTGTGAGTTTATTTTGGTATGAAAACTTTTAAAATTTGTGCAAATTTTTTTCATAAAACACATTTTGCGTGAACTTTGGGAAAATCCCTCATTCGGCAGGTATTTTTGTTTGTGCTGCTATAACAAGTTAACTGACACTTGGCAATTTATAAAGAAGAGAATTTCATTTCTCATAGTTCTGAAGGCTGGAAGTCCAAGATCAAGGGGCCCGAAAATTCAGTATCGGATCAAGCCTCAGTCTCTGCTTCCAAGATGGTGCCTTGTTGCTGCATCCTCCAGAGGGAACAAACCTGTGTCCTCTAGCGGAAGGGAAGGAGGGCAGAGAAGGGGCTAAGCTGTCTCCCCCAACCCTTTTGTAAGAGAGAGCCTTACTCATTCTGTCTCCATCACCTTGTCTTTTTTTCTTTTTTCCTTTTTTTGGAGAGGTTTTTGCTATAGGGCGTGTGTGCTCGCCAGACAAACAGAAAGAGACAGAGAGACAGAAAGCAAGAAATCACCCCCAGGGGGATGGCCACGTCGCAATCCCTTCTCCTCCATTCTCCTCTTGGGATCTTGGGCATGCACGCACACGCGCCCGGCGTGAATTTAAGCGACCGGGTCTGGGACTCGAACCGCGATCAACTACGTGGGATCCAGCGACATAGCCATTACACTAACTGCTGGTCCCCATCACCTTGTCTTGATCACCTCCCCAAAGGCCCTAGCTCTTAACACCCTCAATGTGAATTTTGGAGGGGGCACATTCAAACCAGAACAGAGGGATTCCAATTCTGACTTTAAAAAGGAAATATCTTTTTCTCCCCTCCTCCATTTTTATAGCAGACAAATCTGAAAGAAAACATGCCAAATAAAATAATGGTTATTTCTTAATGGAAGAATTTAGAGTGAGGTTTTAAAAGCACTTTTCAAGCCGGTAGATGGTGGAGTGGTTTCATTGCTGGACTCCCAAATGGCCAACCGTAGTTTGAGTCCTGGACTCAGTGGCTTCAAAATCACGCCTGGTGTTGTGCATGTGTGCCCAAGGACCCAGGGGGAGAATGGAGGAGAAGGGATTGCGGTGTGGCCATCCATCCTAGAAGCTGATTTCTTACTTTCCCTCTCACTGTCTCTGTCTCTCTGGCAAGCGCACATGCCTTAAGACAAAAACCTCTTTTTTTAAAAAATAGCACTTTTCTGTATTTTCCAAATTCATTGAAAGTCCTTGTTTTTTTTTTAATAACAGGAAATTTCTGGAAAATATTCTTTTGCAATCTATTGGGTAGGGTTTTTCCATTTGGAATAAAAATGTGTTTCAGAAAGTAATGAGCTTTCTTGGGAACCAGCAGTTAGCGTAATGGCTATGTCGCTAGATTCCCACGTAGTCGACCGTGGTTCACGTTCTGGACCCGGAGGCTTAGAACTCACGCCGGGCGCGTGTGCGTGCATGCGTGCCCAAGATCCCGAGAGGAGAATGGAGGAGAAGGGATTGCGGCATGACCATCCCCCCTGGGGGGTGATTTCTCACTTTCTGTCTCTATGTCTCTGTCTGTCTGGCGAGCGCACGCACCCTATAGCGAAAACCTCTCAAAAAAAAAAAAAAAGAAAGAAAAAAAAAAAGAAAGTAATGAGCTTTCTAAAGAACATAGGGCTCAAATAAAGTTTGAGCATGACAAGATGAATTCCTGAACACTGCAGAAGGGATTACCAGGGACGGTGATTACTTAAGACATTAATAGGAGCGCACTGATGAACAGCAGGGCCAGGCTTCAATTAAACATGTGCTCTGCCATGAAGGCATTGCAGAAGCTGACTTTAAAGTTGGCCTCTCCTTGGCTCCTTTTTTTAAGCTTGTGGTTTGAACTCCCTAGTCTCTAGAAAGTTAATGTTTCCGTATGGACTATCATTTTCCTTAATTGTCATGTCGCTTGTTTGTTCTTTTCCCCTGCTGAGGCGGTGGCCTTCACTGCCTTCTCTCTGTACCTTCTGTTAATATGTATTTATGGAGTGATCTGAGAAGTGAAAGTCCTAAATCACATTGACCAAATGCCAGGGCATTGTGTTATGAGTAAGCACCCACACCCGAATCCCATGTGCCAGCTCAGAGACAATCGAATCTGAAACAGATAATGCACTATATACCCAGCTTCTGCCTATGACAGCAGATTTGTACTCTAAAAGCCCCTTTAGGATCTGACAGGGAACTCCTATTTGCAGTGGAACATCTTGGGCTCCAGGGCCTGTGCGTTCTCTCCGGGGTTCGCTTGACCATTGGTGGATCTAAGTGAAGGCAGGAGTTCAAATGGAGCAAAACTGGGATTAAAGGATTCAAGACGCAAATTGCTTAACTCCTACTGTTTTGTCCTGAGCATGCCTGCTAGGCATGGGGCTTCAGGGGGAACTGACTTGAGTCTTGGTGCCTTTATTCCAGGGTGACCTCTGCCTCAGTGCCTCAGGAGCTCAGCTCTACAATGGGCACAGTGTCCCTTCTTTTTTAGGTTGTCTTGAGATGAGAAAATCTATGTGAAGTGTTTAGCGCACTGCATGGCCTCCTCTTACAGTGATTTCGGATCTGGAAGCAACACCAGACCCATCCACTGTCCTTCTCAGCAAGGTCCAGGGGAGGCAAAGGACGCTAATAGTTTTTCAGTTAACTCCCCACCCCCCCCACCCCCGCTTCTCTAATCACAACTCTCTGGCATGGGCTACATGGTAAGAGAGAACTCTTTCCTTCTTTCATTTTTGACTTTATTATCAAAATTGAGTTTTCTTTAGCTTTGAAACTAACTCCCTTTAGGAATTCCATCTTTTCTTCCCAACTGGAGATCAAAGGTTTTAAACAGAAGGCTCTGGGTATTAGTCATTGGCTTGGCAGGGTGGTGGCCCAAGCTGGGCCCAGCCCTGAAGTTAGTCAGGAAGGGAGAGGTGCAAAGGTTAGACTCTGAGATAGGCAGGGGGCACATGCAGGGAGAATGGAGGAGTGTAGAGAGCAGTTCTCCTAGATTTACTCCTCTTAGGAAGCAAACCTACCCCATAGTCTGAGGTTTAACTGTGTCAAATAATCCCCTTCCCCTACCCAGGCAGACACCACCACATCAGGGTCAAATGTTGTCAGTGTGTACAGTAACTGATCCTGAAGCCAGGGGAGGCTCTCCGGGCTTCGAGAACTTCGAGGCTGGAGCCATTGCTCTCTTAGGGGCTTTCAGTGTGTGGGATTCCTTAGTGCAGAGATGACCCATCACCTTGGGCTGTTGCCCACCTCTCAGACCTCTTTTCACCCAACTCCAGCCACAGAGGCTTTCTCTGGAGTCTTTCAGAAGGAGACTCACTTTTCCTTTTTTCCCTCAGAGCACTGGCTTCTCATGTCTAGGTCACCTCTGTGGGGACTGCGGTCCCTGACCACTCAGCTCAGTTAGGGGACTTCTCTGTGCCTACCCAGCAGCCCCTAAGCCTCCTCCTTAGCATTCTTTCTACTTTGTCATAGTTTATTGTCGTGTGATCCATAAGATACTGTAGGCTCCAGGAGGAAGACAACCTGTTTGTTCCCACCTGGGTCCCCAAGGCTCCTCCTGTAGGGCCTGGCCAGAGTAAATACTGATAAATATTTGTAGCATGAGTGCCCTGGGTGGCTGGAGGTCCTTTGACTTGCCAGTCACCTGGGCTGACCCACGTGGCCAGGACGGTTCAGGAAGGATCCTGCCAAGGACTTTCATTGATTAGGCTTGCAGGGACCTTCCAGGCAATGAGTCTTAACATTTTCAGGGCCGTGGATCTATTAGGTATTTGATAAAACCAATCGGACAAGTTTTCCCAAAAGAACATAAATGAGCTTAGAGTGTGGGGGCGACTAACACCCCAGGTAAGAACCTTAGATTAAGACAATGAAGGGTAAGAGAGAAATTAAAGAACCTTGACATCCCAACATCTTAGGAGAGACCTTCCCTTCCCCTTTATTCTCCTCCCACCTCCCCCATTTCCCTCTCTCCTCCCATATTGTCCAGGGCCATATTCTTTATCATCTACTCAGGATCAATATTTTACCAGCTCCTTTGGATTACAGAACTCTTAACCACCATATCGGTCCCTTTAAACCTCTTAAAAGGGGCCCTGTTTAAAATGGCCCATGTCCGACTCGTGGTGCAGCGTTTATTAAAACAAAAACTTCAGCGGGGGAGGGGGTGGTGCGGTGGCGGTTTGGGAGTAAGAAGTCACTTCTAGTTTCCACTCTGAGAACCCCTCTCCCCTACACAGTTTAGGGAGAACAGTTTTTGACACTTTGCGCAAGTTTCATCAGGAAGTATCTTCATAAACCTTTGTCGAATGAAGAAAGGACACATGGCGCGGCAGAATCAGAGGGAAGCAGCTCTGGACTCCGGACGCAGGGATCTCGGAGTGCGAGACGAGCACGTTTCCAGCCCACGCGCGCCGGGGCAGCAGACCCGGCCGCTACCCCGGCCCAGGCGCGAGCACAGGTGTATTAGCACCTGCTGCGGCCGGCGCGGCGCTGGGCGGGGTGAGCAGCGGCCTCAGGGTCGGAGTGAGGGTGCAGGAGGAGGAGGGACCAGAGCAGGAGGGAGGGAGAGGACGAGTCAGAGGAGCAGGGAAGGGAAGAGGTAGAGGGAGGGTGTGGGAGGAGCGGGAGAGGAGGCGGCGAGCCGCGTGGGGAGGAGTCTGCAAACTTTGAGCGCGAGGGCATTGTGGGAAGCAGCCATGGTCTGAGGCGGGCGTCTCACCTGTCAGCCGCGCCGGCTACTGAGCTCGGCTTTAGCCCTCAAGTCCACCAAGTTCGCCGCTGGCAGGACTAGGGCGGCTGCGGCGGGGCCACCATGGTGAGTGCGGACGGGCGAGCACGCACGCTGTGCCAGGGCGTGCGCGCTCCCGGGAACACCTGCGGCGCCCGGGCTGGGCGCGCGGCCGGCTTGGGGGTGCGGGCCGAGCCCAGCACCGGACCCTGGACCTCCAGTGCTTGTGGCCCTGACGCCGGGATGGCGCGGGGGCGGTAGGGATGCCTGCTCGGGTCCCCGCAGCAACCAGACGCCGTACTTCATTCATTCGATCCGCGTTGGTTGAGCGCTTCGTCTGTGCCAGGCTCGGTGCTGAGCGCCGGGAGGTCGCGGGGGGACCAGAGAGAACCTCTGCTCTCAGGGGGCTTACCTACTAGGAGGAGCCTGCGAGGGAGGGAGGCGGTAACACGCACGTAATGCAAGATGACTTCCGAGAGTAAAGAGTGCCTGAAAGTCTCAGATACTACCGGAGGCGAGGCAACTTTTGGTCAGCGGAGGCCTCGTAGAGTAGGTGACATTTGAGGTGCGGATGGTCTTGAAGGGGCGCCACAGGTTGAGGGATCTGCAACCGCGGAGAGGCGAGGTGGGCGGGGCCCAGATGAGACAGGCCCTCGAAAGTCAAAGTTCAGAGTTTGCTTTTTGTGGGAAACTTTGCGATCTGTTCAGCACGAAAACTGCCTTCCTCCGTTCCATACTTTATGAAGACCCCTTTGGCCGTTGGTGGAAAATGGGCTGGATTGAGTGGGTGGCGGGACATGGGCTAAGGTGGAAGCTGAGCCTAGTTGCAGGGCTGCGGATGAGAGAGACTGGTGGCCTGCCCGCGCTTGGGTTTCCGAAGCGATGGCTAGGGTCGCCCTGGCTCTTGCCTCGTTAGGACCAGCGCAGTCACAGAGCAGAGGTCTGAACCGCACCTGTCTCACTTCCCCAAGCGCTCCCACTTCCCAGGTCCGTGAAGTGACTTGCTCTCTGTGGGCTCCGATGGCATCCCGAGGCAGAAGCTGGGGGACCCTGTGGGCTAAGTAGATTGACTAACAGGGTGAGCGTGGAATACTGAACCGC